TATGGCGGGTTTGAATATTGTTCACATCATTGTTTTATAAAATATATTCATTGTCGAAAATGAAGAGACATAAAACGTATCACAGTTAATATTTGATACCTACGAATAATTTGTCTGGCTAAGTGAGTAATGAGAATATTAGCGAGAATCATTTTTTTCTGGGCAATAAAAACATCCTGTGGAAGGCTTTCCCCTCGTAGATTGTTCATGTTCATTGACTCACCCTGTATATAGTTTGTACTGATTTCACATAAGGTACTCTATTATAATTGAGAACATGATGATGGTAATTTTGTATGTACTTAGTATCGGAAAAAGTGTTAAATATTCAACAAAATTAAAATTATTACAAATTTCTGGCGAAACAGTTATACGATGAGAAAAGCTATTATTTTTATACTTTGGCTACGAATATCAGAGTTTGTTTGAATTCTATCTGCAGTCAAGTGATGCCTTTCTTGGTTTCTGCTCCTCCATAAACGTTATTTATCATTACAAAAGTATAATACTATAGAAAATATCGTTAGTTTGACATTTCATCATATTCTATTTCGTTAAACGCTCTGTATTTCAAAAACTGCTACATCAACGTCGTGTATTGGTGAAACCTTCATGCACTAAATTAACGCAATTTATTGACCATCAATTCAATGAAGGTTATGAGATGAAAGTAAGCCATAAGAACGAACTTATTATAGCGTACGGCCCCACATTTACCGATTTTTGATAAACCCTGGGAATTTCCATCTTCACAGAACCGCTTTGAAAACTGTTTTGTAACAATCTTAAGTGATTTCCTCTGTTTTGCAATAACTTGAAATTCATAGAAAAAATATATTCCGATTACTCTCGTGACATGCTCGTTCAAAACAACAACATTGTAGTGTTTTATCGATTGACATTTCGATGACGTGAATTCAAATGTTATTCAGGTTAATTCTTTGCAAAGTATGGAACGTAACTTCCAGAAAAAATGTGGTAGGCTTCTTAAACGAAATGAGAAAATGTTTGTATGAAGATGGAGACAAAGAAAGCCAACACTTTTCTTTCCCAAATATTTTATGGGTTTTTAATCTTCCACAGATCTGAAAATGATTTTTTGCCAAGACAAATTGATGCTCGCCTTTCTACAGTTATTCTGTTATAACTTTAATGTTTCGTGCCTGTGGCATTTTGAAAGTCTGAAAGTAATTGTTGCCATGAAAATAGATTTGGTGACACATAGCCTAATTATATGTTTCTTATCATCCACAAGTACAGTTTTGAAAAAACAAAAAGACTAAAATACCTGAAGACTAAAAGAGAAATCAAGTGAGCGGATAATGAGTAGTGAACTATAGGGGTACGTTCACACTCGGCAGCATAATCAGGAATTGATTAGGTTAGATTTGAGTTTTGAATATGATACCTCGAAGATTCCAAACCTATAGTCTATTTCAAAAGAGTGTAGAGTAATAAATCATGAAGTGTCATAAAATTTGCCTGAATTTCGTTGTCGTCCATGGGCGTAGGCAAATCTTAGGATTATTAAACTTAATAATTAAAGTAAATTAAAAATTACAGACATAGATAATAATAAAAGGCCATTTTTGGGAAGTAATTTGGTCTAAAACTAAGTACCTACATGTATTTAGGTAAGTAAAATTTCTTAAAAAAAGATTAAGATTAATTTTAGTGGTTCTTGTAAACTTATTTAATATGCAATTTGGGTTCATATACTTGAGCATGATTTCTCAAAAAAGGGTTAACACTTAGTTCCGAGGTGCCATGTCATTATAATAATCCCTTTTTGACCCTGCCCACCAATCATGCAATACCTATTAAAC